AGATTTAACGAATGATTCCATCTTAAATTCCTATATAACTACATGGAAAATAAAAATAAAATGTATACAAACACGATGAAGCACCAGGTATCGATGGTATTTTAAACGAATACATCATAAACTTTTATCTCTATATGAGGTTTTGTTCAGTCTCGTTCTAGAAACTGGTATTATACCAAACCACAATGGTCTTATGGTTCAATTAAATTTTTCAATTTATCAGAATAAAGGTGCTACCTGCTTGCCAGAACATTACAGATCTATAACCTGATTAAGCTGTGTTAGTCAATAGGTTAAATTTATTTATAAAGCATTGAATATATAAATAAGGCTTCGAGGACGATTTCGCAAATATCATTCCATTATAATATATCACAAATTCACTTTTAACCCATTACCCCATGAGCATTTTATGAAAAATGGCTGTTTTCATTGAAAAGTCTCCCGTTACAAGTTCAATGTGCTATAAAACTATAAAAACTGCTTCAATACTATTCAAACTTGGCACAAATGTTGACTGGACCATTTGTAACAACATGCTCAGTCTTTAATTTTATGTTACCATGGCAACTAGGGGACATCTCAAAATTGCCAAAATCACTATTTTGCGGTGATTTTTTCCAACAAAATTGATTTCAAAGTGCTGCCACTTCTCAATGGATTGAGATAGAGTCAAAGGCTTTTCAGCATTGGTTACACGTTACTTTATGATCGACCTGGGGTCATTTTTAGCCTCTCACAAGTCCAAAATTTTCTTGGCGATGAGGGGGGCTCCGCCCCCCTTCACCCTCCCCAAACAAAAGGGGGCACATCCCCCTTCTGGCAACCCCTTGATGTATCTTTTGGATGGGGGTGGGCGCCGAAAAAGTGGTCAATTTTTTAAACAACATTTCTCAAACAAAAACAAGTGTTTTGGGGCCTAAATAAGGCAATTTTCCACCATTTGAGAAAGCAAAAAAAGGGGGGGGGGGGGTGAAAAAGGCGTAGAAAGGCGTACATATCTGGTAATGGGTTAATCTAATAATAGAGATTCTGAGGAAATCTTAAAGAAAATTATTTTGATTTTTGCAGATTTCTTTCAGGTGTTTGATTCTGCTTGTAGAGTTGGCTTACGGTGGAAAAGGGGACAATTATATAAATGGTAAAATGGTAAATGTTTCAGAACAATTCAGAATATGGTTACGAATATTAAGTCACGTGTTTATCAAAATGGTACATATTCTCCATTTTCGAGTGTAATTGTGGAGTTAGCCAAGGAGAAAATCTTTCATCTGTACTTTTGCATTATTCCTTAATGATAAAAAGAATATTTAGAGAGTAATGGTAATTGTTTTTGAAAAGCGATTTAGGCGTATTTTTGGAAATACCACTTTTACTTTTTGCTGACGATACAGTCTATGTATTTGAAGATCCTGTAAAATTGCAGGAATGTCTTCAACGATTTTGTGCAATATTTTCATATTTTGCAATCTTAACATTAATATTTAATTAAGTAAACCTAAAATTTTTTGAAATTTGGTCAAGAAATTATTATACTTTTAACTATAAAACTGTTGATACGCCTTTAGAGGTGACATATTCATATACGAACCTTGGAGCATACTTCACATAATCACATAATCGGATATTTTTTAAGTATGAGGAACACTTGACAGGACAGGCAAGAAACGCAATACACATAGTTTATCATTTACCAATTGATCCCGTGCTTAAGCTATTTGCTAGTTGATGTAATTCATTTAGGTATAGGGATATAAAAGCTCAACAAAGCTTTCGAAAAAAAATCGTTTTTTTTTTATTTTGTAAATATTACATTTAAGAAAATCTACACAATTAAACATGGTGTATGCACTAACTGGCGGACATCGTACTGATTTTACAATAAAATGTGGGATGATAAGTTATCGGATACGCTCGCCACTAGAAACCAAATAAACTTTCTTTCAAACTATACCAGTATATGAAAAATTAACCAAACGTTTAATTTTAATAGATACTTTAGATTTACGAAATTCTGAATGAAGTAGGCATATTTGATTCATGGCTTAGGTAAAGAGATATAAATAGCAAAACCCTTAAAATAAAGTAAAAAAAAATATTCAACTAAAATGTGCAAACATGGCACTCGTATCTTAACAATTCTAATAAAGGGCGTAATTATTTTATAAGTAAAGTTTCTACAAAACTTGAAAATTACCATATAAACCTTGATAAACTGGAGCAGTTTTGGAATTTAGAACAAGGAATCATCGGTTTCCTGTTCAAACAAGCCGATGGGTTGGTCAAGAAATACATGTACGAAAATGTTATTACACAAAATTAAGAGGAAGTATTGCTTATTATAATACAAGGGGCGTCCGTGGCCGAGTGGTTAAGGTCGTTGACTTCAAACCACTTGCTCCTCACCGCTGTGGGTTCGAATCCCGACAGGGACTTTGGATTGCTTCTTGTGAGGAAGCTATCCAGCTAGCTTACGGAACGTCGGTGGTTCTACACAGGTGCCCGTTCGTGCCTGAAATAATGCATGGAAGGGCACCTGAGGTCTTCCTCCACCAGTAAAGCTAGAACGTCGCGATATGACCTATACTGTGTCGATGTGACGTAAAACCCCAAAACAAACAAATTATAATACAAAAAAGAAAAAATTGAATCAATAAACAGAAAGTTCAAGTTTTTTTTTTAAATACAGGATTCATTTCCATCTTGTGGTATGAAAATTACCACATTTAACACGCGGCTACCGCCACACATAAAATAGTTATTCAAATATCCTTTATTTTATTTTATCACTTTTATTTTTATTTGTTGACAGACTTCATATGAGACCAGCAACCAGTTTCGAGGTCTAGCAGAAGTGCTCAACCAGCGAATACAGAGTGTGCTAGCCGAGAGAGCTAAGGACCACACTAATGAATGGCAACATTTCGTGCGCAACGTGCAAGTACGTACCGAAATAATGAGAAATAAGATAAGGAATCTTCTTTATTTTACAAGAAACTATCGCAAAAACTTCAAATAATGTTTTGCATTGTACAATTTTGATTCCACGATCTTATTCTTGACGTTCAGTAGATTAATTTATTAAAGTCAACGTCTCTGAAATATGTACTTTATTTATCACACACCCGTGCCGATTTCGCGACTCCGTAAAAATGTTATTGCACGACCATGCATATATTTTGACTTGACGTCATGAGCGTTGTACAAACTTTCTATTAAGATGCACTAAATGTTAGGTGCGTTGATGAAAATGTTTTTTTTTCACTTTCAACGGTCTTATCTTGAGTATGTGATAAATTGAATATCAAATACACCTTTGTCTATTACTGAATATATTAAAACGTTTAATAAAATAATATTATGTTCCGTCGAGACTCGTCAAATATCATTTTATTAAATTCAACACATGCAATAAATTCAGTATTGAACTTACACTCATCCAATGTCCTCTATTCATAAACAGATAAACATCACTATAATTATATAAACCCAATGTAACAAACATGGATTATTATAATGAAAACTATTCATGCATATGATTGGTCAATTGAAAAAAAAACACACAAAAAACACCAAGCACAAAATTGAAAGAAATAAAAAAAAATGCTTTTAAAACATAGTTTTTACGCAACCTGATTTTGTGTTTATCATTATTTTTCTTTTACATTCCATTCAAATCAGTACGAGAGATACATCTTAAATCATTGACAGGAGACTACCAGTCAAACTCCGGATGAAAAGAAAGTAAAATATTTATAAAAATAATCTCTGCATATTAATGCTTTATTTGTTTATATCTTATAGAAATAGTTACAATAGTTATAACAATAGTAATTCTAATGACGTAGCAGACAATTTGTTTGACGATCGATAACAATGAGCGTTTTTGACGATGAAAGTAAGAATTATATTCATAGATATTATTATAATATACCTAATAATTTTAGATTCAGCAAACTATTCACAAGTTATTCTGTTATAAAATTTATAACTATATTATGAAATTGTATACAGTGTTAAACTGTTAAACATGTATTCTATGTTCAACTGACTGCTTTAAAGCTACTGGTTTGTACAAGGTTCTATCAGTATTTAATTATGATTATATAGGCATGAAATACTTACGATACCTAAATTCATCAATAAATTCACATCAGGTCCATTTATGTTCACTAATTTTTATTATGATCAGCTCTTGCCTTAGTATTTTATTCACAGTAGTTTATTAATATCACACCGATCCGCCTAGACCTCCATACCTAAAATCCGTTTCCAAATTGACCAATTTTGTTAATTAATCGCCAAAATATGTGTACACTTAACCCCAAATCCGACCCCTTTTTAACAATATGATGTCTAAATAATAGAAAGTATTGATAGTAATTCTTCAGATGCTCAGTTGGCATGTCACTTATTATATATTGATAAACTTTGCATTGTATACTATAATACATGTAATTAGAGTTATTGAAGTGTTGATCTGTTCTGTTCAATATAGTTTTATTAATAAGTATTATAAATTTTTAAAGGATATGTTAATTTTCTTAAAATATTAATTCCAAAGTTTTAATCACATAAAATGTCTGATATGTTTTATTGTTAAAGACATTCATGTATATATCAGCTCTCGTGTTGAATGTTTAGTCTGGTTTTAAAAATACAATATACAGTGCAAGAACATATATTAAGCAATAAATAAAATGTTGTTTTTTATTAAAGCAAATCTTAGTAAGGGGTTCGGTTAAACATTTTATGTGTATACTACACTTTAACTACTGGCAAAATGAAGCAAATAATAAAAAAAAACAATAAAAAACCAAATACAAGAACAACAAAAACTGACATAAATACTGTTATACTTAACAAGCAATATAAACAATTTGAACATACTGTACACAAACGATAATACACCCTCTTAAAAATACCGTTTTATTTTTTAAAATGGACTTTAGGTGCAACAGGTTATTTTTGGCATAACTGTTCACGTGATTCTAAATTTGAACGTAGACTTACCTTATAAATTTTAGGTTAACATCGGGATGATAAGTGTCAATAAAATTAAGTTACCTAACTTAAAAGAAGCACAAAACACGTTTAATACGATTTTTAATACTCAAACGATTTATATTATATTTACGTGTTTCGGATATCAGTTATACAAAGTGTAAGGTAAGATCATATTAATATCATTAAATCACAAGATGGCCGCGCTTGATATTTTTTGATATTGTTATATCTTAACAGGAATTTTTAGATAAAGGTTGGCCCACTTTAATTTATTTTGTTTATGAAATTAATGTGTGTTATATTATGAGTTTGCCAGTGAAGTTTTAAAGTAACTTGGGTCTCTGGTTCTAGTCAAAAGATATTTAGATGATTTGTGTATTTGCTTACAGTTATTTAAGCGTTAAAATATTCTACACAGGGTAAGCTGTTGATGTTAATTACATTTTTATTTTGACACCAACATTATTTTTCAATCCTTTATTTCACATTATTGTCACAGGGTGACTAACTGTCGCCGGCCTACTCAATCGTAAATGATAACGAAAGCACTGGGTTGGTTCGACAGAATCGGTTATATTTACATGGTAAACACGCTCCTGTAATGTCATACATACACGAAAAATACAAACAATTAACAATACAAATTCAGATCAATTGAAATACAATACACAAATACATATAAGGTTTAATAGACAAACGTTTATCTGTAGATATATCAATAGATAAGTACAAAAAGGATGATAATAGTAATTAAAGCATAAATGGCTGTTTACATTTGTATTCAAAATATGGCGGATATCGATTACTCGATAGTGATTGGTTATTGATTTGTTTTTGACAGAGAGGAGGTTAATCGAAATGAATACAGTAAAGAACGAAAGTCTATAGAGGTCTGACTACACTTACTATAAACTACTACTACATTATAAATTATCTACTTTAGTTTGGTGTTCAAATTATACTCTATTATAATGTAATTATGAATATTTTATATTATTGTTGTTAGTGTATGATTGATATGAATGTAGACAAGGTACTTTTATAAATAGTGTATGTCTAGTTAGTGTAAGTGTGTATATATCATTTACGTGTATAATGCGTTTATCATATAATTTACCCTATGACATTATGTCCCTAGGACTCTTGCTGTTTTGCTTGCAAATCCCGGACAGCGTAAAATTATTAAAGTCTGTATAACAAATTTGCTTGATGATAAGTGAAATTAAGTATTTAATTACTAATTATAGAAATCTTTTTTCACCACGTTAACTTAACCGTACACACCATCTATGTCCGACGCAAAAAACGATGCAGTGATATAAGTATAAAAAATGAATATTTAATACGTGTATTTACATTTTTATTATCTACGATTGCCGTGTATTTAACCATCATCCTTATTCAACGGGTCAATAAATAAATAAATTTATATAGCAAGGAAAATATTAAACAAATTTATTAAACTCCCCGACACAATTTAGTTATAAAATACTACAGGTTGTCTGTGTTATTGTTTTAAAATTCTATATCTTAAAGATAACACGATAAAATAAAACATAATACGATACATGGAAACGTTGCAATTCTACTTGTCTGTTGTATAATAAAATGATTAAACCCGCGGTGTTAACTTCATATCAATCTCAAAATTGTGTTTCGCTTAAAAGAATATGTGCATTTTCGCTGATCCATATGTGCACTACAACATCCATATGTGAAGGCGGTTGACAAAGAACATTTTAAAATAGTTAACATTATTTTGTGATATTCAAAGCTTTTAAGAACGTGGGTTGCAACTATACCCCCGACTCCCCTCTATGTATTTATTTATTATTTTATTATTACTTTTTATTATGTTTAATTATTATTGTTATTTTTATTATTATTATTATTATTATTTATTATTATTATTATAACAATTATTATTATTATTATTATTATTATATTATTATTATAATGTTTTTTTTTTAATTTTCATACAGTTATTGTACTGGTATTTTTCTCGGGTGGTTTTGTGTGTTTTAAACAATCATGCAATGCGTATAAAGAATATGTCATTAAATGGACACATCAAAATGTATGTAGAAAGTTTTCATTATGTCTGACCGCAGAACGATGCTTGACATTCAGACATACTCTTAATTAAACATTTATAATTGATAATTGACTTAAAACAAAAAAATCTACGGTCAAAATTTCTTTTGAGCTTTACATATGCTAAACAAACCCATGGGTACATGATTAAAAACAATATTAACATAATTACAGATCACTTACATATTTTTGTCAAATTTAAATTATTCTGTTTTAGTATCATTCTGTAATTAAACTTTATATCTGGAAAAAATAGATAAAGTTTCCTAAGTCGCACTTGCATATAAACCCAATACAAAACATGGTAAAAATAGTGGCAAGTCAGAAGGGTAGAATACCATTTTGATTTTCTTCAAAACAAGCTTTACAGTGCATGGCAGTTTTTTATATCATTTATTCATTCTGCAAGAAAAAACGTTATCAAATTTTCATTCACCAAATGTTTGTTCATAGCTGACCTATGATGAAAAAAATTTAAAGACGTTCATAGAGTGGCAAGCAACCAGATTTCCTTATTGCATTTACAACAACAAATATATCAGTAACAATATATTAAGGAGCATACATCAAGAACTTTTTACTGTTCAAATAATAAAGCACTCAATGCACCTCATTAGTTTGTTATGACCAACCAGGAAAACCCAAAGACAGACTGAAAACCTGAACCCATTTGTCAAGTGTAAATCACGTAGGAATTTTGGGGCACATTTCATTTCTTAATAAACATAAACATTACAAATTCTCCTATTTGATCTCAATAAACGAAGAATGTCTGAACAACACAGATCTTCAATTCAAAAAAAAAAAAATAAATAAAAAATGAGAGATTATGAAGTAGATATTTCTGTCGGTTACATTTTACATTGCCTAGAACTTTTGTATGTAGTACTGCCTTGTGGATCTTTATGAAAGTTTAATTAGTAATGCCATTGGGTTTAAAAATGGCTTTGCTGTGGGTGTCACATATTTTACTTAGACTACACCTTTTTCTCTTCTATAACATTAAAATTTATTTTGCCCCTAACCTTATTGCCCTCTATAAAAGGTATATAAATCATGTCCCAAACTCTGCGTTCAAATGTGGATATCGCCTCCTAGAGGGTCACTAAGTGTATAGAAGCGTACCTGGTACAATATGTGTACTGAAGTCTGAGAAATTACAATGTCAAGAGGCTCAGTCATCTGTCATTAATAATTTCGCAAAGAACATCTTTGAGTAATATTATTAAAACTTGTTGTTTGGTTAGAAACGACAAACTAAATGTGACTGACATTTGAAATTGACCAATTAATTTTTTGTGCTTGGCAATATGTAACTCTGTTGAGAGATGCAGGGTCATCATGACCAGCTCGCTGTTCCTTTTTATGTGTGTGTGTGTGTGAGCGTGTGTGCGTGCGTGCGTGTGCGTGCTTGTGTATTTGTGTACGTAGTTTTTGTTTTATACGAGTAAAGAAGTGCGGGACACTGGTTTGATTGACTAACAGCCGCTAAAATAATAATTGGAATATGGTCTGTTCTAAAATATTATCAAACACAAGAAGTTATAGACGCTTAATTATGAAGTAGATATTTCTGTTTCTGTTTTTATATTAAATCTATTTCAAAGCAATATTTTATGTGTTGTCGCCGTTTAAAAAGATAAAGTATATCAGTAAAACGCTTGTATCTCTTTAACATTTATGAATAAAAACATAACATGGTCGATACAAATCACTTTACCTGTCACAAATATACATGGTAATAAATAACAATAATATATAATCAAAGCCAGAAAGATAGAAATAAAACCATAAGGAAATAATTGCATTGGATCTGCTAGATATAATTTATTTTTACATGATATGTCGTAATAAGTAGGGCGGAAATAAAGTGGTATTTCATTTTTAAAATGTGTCAACAAAAAACAAAAAAAGTGTTCATCCAAATGCGTGAAGTGTAAAGCACATTTTTACTTGTGAGTTTTAAAGTTTGCAAATATGCCCTAGCTTTGTGTATAAAGAAACGTTTGTAGTAGTTTCATAGATTGATTTCTGTTAGTGATGTACAAAAGTTGTATTAAGATAAATGTTGTTTTTTTATTCGGGATAACATGAATGATAATTAACTTAAATAAATCAACTATCATAAATTTTTTGAAGTAGGCTGTTACACCTCAGCGATAGACACTGATGACGCATCTCTTTTATGAAGTGGCTGTGCAGATTTAAACTATGAAAGATTCCGAAGAAGACAGCTTAGCAGTAAGTAACATTTGTTCTCGACAAATGATATTTTAGTTATGAATTATTTTCGTATTGCCTATCATTTTAGGAATACAATTGATATAAGAAAGTTCTACTTTAAATCTAATTAAAATGTTAATAATTAACTTGTAGCAGTTTTCCATTATGTCTTCGTTTACAGTAAATACCCAGTACTCACCTTTCAAATCAGACGAGTCAATATCAAAAGAAAACATTAAATTGTTAGTTACAGCAAACAAGTATTTAAATGAAGTATGCGAGCGTTAGTAAGCAATCATGATATCTTTATCGTGTATACTATACATTCCACACTATTCATTTATCGGTTATGATAATCAATATTTCGAAATCGTCATCATGGCATCATGGCTGTTAGGGTTATTGTCGTCCGGGGTACTACTGGTAGGCCCCAACGAGTATCTTAAAAGTATTTACCTAGTACTCATTGTTAACCGATAAAATGCTACACATAGATTTCCTAAAACAATTTACTTAAAGTACAATTTGATTTTTGCAATAATACGATATTTCGATTCTAACACGACATCAACAAATAAATGTTGCCGTACCTGATATTAAGTTACATTGCGCCTGATTTGTTTCCGTACTTATTTTCAGTGTGTCGCATTTTAGTTGTTAAGTCACATGTCTAATGATTACGTCACGTATCATAATATAGAAAGTCAATAGTTGTTTTATTGCATAATTACACACACCACACTTTCTGTACATCTATGTTCAATAGGGAAAAATGAGGTTAGTGTTTGAATTTTGATTAACTAGGATTTATGCCTATGCCTACGATTCAGTACAAAGCAATTAATAATAAATACTTTTAACGCCGAATCTCTTTCCGGCTGTTCTACATGGATTCCTGCTTAGATTTGGTTTTGCCCTAGAAGGAATTTTGGTAGGTTAAACATGTGATGTCTTACAGTTTGTTATATTTTCATATATTATTTTCAGGAGGGATGGGAGACGAGGTATGATACTATACATAGGTGTGTATTTTATGTTCACCCTGGTAAGTTTTATCTTTAATCTTATCCAGATCCTGTCCGTAAACGTTAAGTATGACATATCTATCTTCATTTTATGTTTTTATAGACGTTGCACATGTTCTAGTGCGTATGTTTTAATGCAAACACAAACACAGGTTTAATTAATACTGAGACTTTTAGTTAGGAGATAATCATGTTTAATGCAGATGTATTCATAAGCGATGTCTTGCCATTTAATCAAATATTATAACTTTACAGACATATTTTATAATGACATCATTAAAAAAGTAATGGAATTGTACGTTGAAAAATAAGACAAAATTAAAAAAAAACACTGCAATCATTTTTTTACGAGATTCCAGAGCGTTTAACTAAAGACTTTCATTAATTTCAACTTTGGGAAATTTAATATAATTTTAGCCAGTATAACACGCCAGTTTTTGCATCATTTTGCGTCTTTTCCATAGGAAAAAGGCTAGCCCAGTTGGACGATCCAAAAGAGTCGGGTGTACAAACCAAAAAAAGTATGTTTACTTATTTAATAAATGCATGAACTCAATATAAGTTTCCACAATAAATGATGTTATCTTATTGTTGTTTAAACATAGTTGAGAGTAAAGGCAAAAGAAATATTTTAGTGTTTTTCATTCAACAACACTATATGTTAAATTTTTAGTACAATATACAAGATAGCAAATGTGCATGCATACTTTTTAAACTGTATATAAATGGCCAAGTATCTAGCATGTATACTTTCGCGAATTATTTCCTTTAAATTAGTATAGTCATGTGAGCATACCTATATTCTCTACCTACAATTATAAACACATATTCATGTCATTTGCGCCCAAAGCATCGCGGAAAATTATTAATTGTGTCACTAAATATGCTTGAGTATTATTTTGATCATCTAGCAAATTGACAATTACAATATATAAATATTGCCTTTAAGTATGGGAAGGACTGGATCAACGTCATTGAATCGGATGCTCCTCTTGAAGATTTTCCGTGAGTATAAAATGATTTCTTCTTTGTAGATTAACAACCAAAGAAGAGAAGAATTTGAACTAATAATAATAACAAAACATATAGAAAAAGCCGTTTTATTAAAAGGACATCCAATAAACTGTAACCATTTCATTTCCTCTAAAGGATTGAAATCTAAAGACATACAATACAGAGTTATTCTCATGATCGCATACTTTCGTTCATTGTCATGTAGCTCTAACATTTCCGTATTAAGAAATCTTAAATAGATACATATCACAGATTCAAATTAAAAAATATGCTGTGTTGAAAGAAATCGGAAATTCAAATTCCAGGTGGTTCCATGGAAATATTTCTTATGCTGAATCAGAGAAACTTCTGAAATATCAGGAAGGTGGAACCTTTCTCGTACGACGAAGTCAATCACACAAAGATTGGCTTGTACTTGTTGTCAAAAAGTCAACGCTTGGAAAAGAAGCACTTCAATTTCAGATCAAGTACACGAATCCTGGTGAATATTTTCAAATTGAGAGGGACGATAATATTTTCTTTAGTATACCAAAACTTATAGAAGTAAGTAAGAAACATTTGTTAATTTCTATTATGGGTTTTTGAAGCATGAACATTTTGCTAAAATAAGTGCCAGTGTTGCATTACCTGAATACACATTTTATAAACATGAAACCAGTTTTGTTTGTTTATAAAAAGACATATTGATTAGCAATAATATTCATTTGAATTTTATTTATTATTATAGCATAAAAATTTATTTTAAATTTACATGCTTAATTGTTTGAACTAAGAAACAGCATATATATATATTGTTTTATAATATTTATAATATACATTGTATATGTTTTAACATCATAGCAAAGCCGTCCACATGATCATCAATAACTTATGACGGAAAATCACTATTACATAGACGATGCTTGATTAAAGTGTTAGCGTGATAAGTGTAAAACCAGCTTTCTATAAAATATACGGTTTAATATTCCTATGAAAATACCAAGACCACTTGCTTTATAATGCAAAAGCTTGTATGAATATATGCGCTAAATTATTTATTAGATCATTATTTCGTTTCAGTATTACACTAACCATACCATTCTCAAATTTGGTATAAAATTAACCGCCCCATTAGACAAACACATAATGAACGAAACGAAAAGCAGTGGTGAGTCGCCTTTTTTAGTTCATTAGAGACGAAGGTCCATGATGAGCTATTAGTATCAAAGGGGGATACTCGTCTTCCGTCGTCAATCGTCATGTGTAAAGAATCATCTTTAATTTTGCAAATAATGGGTAGATTTACCTCAAATTTGGTCTGTAGCATCCTTGTGACAGCCACACTTAAATTTGTTCATGCCATTTTAATTGGACCCTTTTAGGAGCCAAAAGAGCTAAAAATAGAAAACCATTAACACATCTTTTAATACTAAATTTAATTATGGATGATAACCAAATTTGTTTGAAGCATTCTTAGGTAGTATTGTATCAAATTTGCTCACTTGATTGGCCCCTTTTAGGGATCTCCAGACCTAAAAATAAAAACACCTTTAGAAATCTTCTTCTACAGAACTAAGTGAAGGATGATCACCAAATTCTGTCTGTAGCATTCTTAGGTACTATTTTATCAGGTTTGCTCATAATAATTTGATTGGCCACTTTAAAGTGCCGCTAAAGCTAAAAGAAGGAAAACCTTTGAACATCATCTCCTATTGATATAATTGTAGGATGATCACAAAACTTTGTCTGTAGCATTCTTAGATACTCTTTTATCAAATTTGCTCATATTAATGTATTGGCCCCTTTTAGGGGCTGCTAAAGCTAAAATAGAAATAAATTTAAAGGTCTCCTTCTACAGAACTTATTGATGGATGATCACCCAAATTTTGCCAGTAGCATTCTATCAGGTTTGCTGATATTAATTTGATTTGCAATTTAAAGGGCCGCTTAAGCTAAAAATAGAAATACTTTGAACATCAACCCTTTCTGAAATAAATGATGGATGATCATTAAACTCTTTCTGTAGCAGTCGCAGGTTGTCTGTTAACAAGTTTGCTCATATTAATTTGATTGGCCCATGTTAGGGGCCGATACAGCCAAATGTAGATAACCCTTTGAACATCAGCTCCTACTGAAATATTTAATGGTTGATCACTTATTTTTTCTGTAGCATTCTTAGGTAGTCTTTTATCACATTTGCTCATATTACTTTGATTGGCCCCTTTTATGGGCCGCTAAAGTTGTAAATAAAAAACCTTTGAACATCATCCCCTACTAAAATAATAAATGGATGATCACAAAACTTTGTCTGTAGCATTATTATGTAGTCTTTAATCTTCTATTGAAAAGCAGTTGTTTCTGGTGAGCGACTCAGGGCAATCATGTCCGTCTTGTAATTATTGTTTGATGCTTTTTTAAACTTAATTTGTATCCTACCTTCAACCTTTCCAATTTTTCCGTACTGCAAAGTTTAGCGTTACAATAAACATAATTATTTTATTTTCCTAAATGTTTAATGGCACTTTTAAAAATGGCCCATAAAATCTACAAATGTAGATAGAGTACCTTTATATATTAACCTTTCCCTATTTGTCTTGGATATTGAGTGATATTTCTTAGTCCTCCATTAAATTTTAAACGCTGATAAAAAATATTTTGTCCAAAAGAAATTAATTTCAACATATGTAACCAAAAGTTGACCGTTTAATGTTTGTTCTTTTTATAAAAAAAAATACAGTACCAGATGAGCTTTCAAATGACCCAAGGACGAGAGAACTCTATGAAAAAGCATTAGAGAAAGGGACAGAAAATGACAACACAATACGAGTTATGGTTATTGGTTGTTGCGAACAAGGCAAAACGTCATTAGTAAGGCGTTTATTGAAAAACTCAATTGAAGGAGTTGAAACAACCAACGGTATTGACTTGCATAAATGTACAGTTATCAGCGAAAATGAATGGAAGAAGTTCGACAATGAAGATCTTGACGAAGAAACTGTTCAGCGCTTGGTTAATATTGCACTTAGAGAAAGAACATACGAGACATTTGCATCGGTTACTCATGGGGAAAAAGGCCTGCTTAACAAAGATGAAGAAGAATCCACTTCAGTAACGGATATATCAAGAACAACGGCTGAAAAAAAAATTTGTTCAGCAAGTGGTCTCGAAATAATTGATAAATCTGATGATTATAGGGGCAAAAGAAGGGAAAAGGTTAAAGTGAACAAAAATAAAATTGCTGGCGCTGTTAATTTTTATGTCAGAAATAAAAGAGTCAATTTCGAAAATTTAAATTCATTTCAGACTGAATTATAAAGAGTTGAATCCATTGAGGCGGAAATAAACCTTGACAACAATATCACGCTTAATATATGGGACTTCGGAGGACAGTTTGTCTATTATGCTACTCATCAAATATTTCATTCAAAACAAGCTGTTTATGTGCTAGTGTTTAATTTAAGCATATCCCTGGATACAATAATTGAAGATAAGGAGTTCCCATTAAATCAAAAGAGAATGAGGGACTATTTAAAATTCTGGGTGGCTTCTGTAAATTCATTTGTTGGCAGTAGGGATGGAATGGAACCGGCTATTATTTTAGTAGGAACCCACACGGACAAATTAAATGAGGACAGTAAGATCGAGGACTATTTTGAGGAGGTCAGGCAAATGTTTGACGACAGTGTATGTCTTAATCATATTCAACCTGAGCAATTTGCTATTTCAAATACAAGTGAGTCAGAAAGCAAAATTGATGCTTTACGGTCGTATATTACACAATTAGGAAAAAGGCAAATAAAAATAAGAATTCCGGCTAAATGGATTCTACTCGAGAAAGCACTTAAAATGAACATACAGAAAAGAATTATAAAAATTGATGAAGTTATAGAAATAGACAGTCAAACGGACAGCCCATTACAAACTGACAACTCAAAAGAAACAATTGACCAGATCAAACTGTTTCTTTCATATCATCATGCAAAGGGAACATTCTGTTATTTTGATGAGGACAATTTGTCAGACCATGTTGTCTTAGATCCACAGTTCCTTGTTGACGCATTCAGGTGCGTTATAACATCTGAAAAGTTTTGCAAAGTACGTCCAAGAATGAGAAGCGTATGGAAGGAATTGTGTAAGACAGCAATTTTACGCGCAGAACTTTTAGAAGAGGTTTGGAGACAAGAAAAAGATAACAATTTCTATGCATTCAAACAATTACTGATAGAGTACATGCAAAAGCATCATATTTTAGCGGAGGCCCTAGCTTATAATCATAATTCTGAGCTGACCGTTGAGCGCTTAGGGTTTTTCATTGTTCCAAGTTTACTCAAGATTTCAGCCAATGATGACAATATTAGGTTATTTTTGGACGGAAAACCCTTGTCAACTGTTTCATTGTGCTACGAGTTTGAAAATGAAATGATGGCGCCCTTCACTTTTCAGACCTGTTTAGCCGGTATTATTGGACGGTGGCCACTGGTCAAGTTCAATGGCAACCCTGTTTTATTTGATAATGTAGCTGCATGTGAAATAGAACGAGGACATGCTGGTGTACTGATGCTGTCGAAAAACAAACTCGAACTCCTTATTGTTAGTCTCTGTCCTCCTGACAATGTTAAGGCCGATGTCTGTGATATGTTTCGGAGATACGTAGAGACGATTATGATCCAACGGATGCATAGATTGCATGAAAATAAACACGAGGGACATCTTATCAGTCATATTGCTGCGAGATGCTTGCACCGAGATCATGGGAGCAAGGGAAGTTATGAAACATTTGCTATTGACAATATACAATCATTTAGTGATGAGAAAATACCATGTCCTGATAGAGCGAGTCACTGCCTGCAGGTACACACTATTATAAAGGAATGGTTCATGCCTGATTTTAAAGTTGATAAAGTTCCGAAGACGAAATTATCGAACAAAGAATATAGCACTTTGGCAATGGCAATTGGAAAAGGTTGGCAGCTTCTTGGATTTCAACTTGGTCTTGATCAAATAATTTTAGATCACATTTGTATGAATAAAGATACTGCTGCAATGCGCATATATGAAATGTTACTTGAATGGGAAAAAAAGGAAGGGGATCAAGCTACACTAGACGTCATTGTACAAGCAATAGAAAACTGCGACACGGATAATTTACATGTTAATTGGGATGTTCTTAGGAATATTATCAACAAGTTCTGAACTGATGGATATGTTAACTGGTGTGTGTCAAAACCGAAAAAACTAAACAATAACGTCGCAACCCAAAATAAACCAAGAAATATTAGTTATAAGCATCCAAATTTTGCTGATTTTTAAAAGTGATAACATACAATGTAATAAGTTGAAAAATGTTTTGAATAAAATTGTCGATAGGATTGTTTTCATATAATTTACTCTTAAAAAGTACAATACATATACATTTTGCTGGTTTTAAAAGTGGTTGTTTTTTTCCCCTTGTTTCTTTAACAATACAATTATAATTTCGTTTGAGACGAAGCCTTATACTGTCTATAAACACATTGCTTTTAGTTATGTATATCTTTATCTACAAGATAAACCGTGTTTTGGTCAGGATATTTTGAATATGAGGTCACGTTACCGGCCTTCAATATTTACTTGTGGAAGAAGACATAAAATACCTTTTTAGTATTTTCCTGCTTTAAATCGGAAATGAACAAAAACACAAGCAAAATATGTTTTTGTTTTGTTTTTACACCGCTGTTTACAGTTTGTTTGTTGAAATATCGGCGGTCGTCCCATTAAATCGGCTTCCTAGATAACAAACCGGAAATAACCAGTGTATCCTCAAATGACTGACTAATGTAAATCCTAAATGATTTCTCAAACAACGGTGAGAGACTTATGTGGGACTTGTAATCGGTTATTATGCCCCCGAAACGAAGTTTGAGGGGGGTATAAAGGAGTCTCCCGGTGGTCGGTCGGTTTAACGTTCCGTTTCATTTTCCTTGTCCGGAGCATGATTTGAAGACTTATCGTTGGAATTCAATATAACTTCATACAATGGTCAAGCACATTGCGAGGAAGTGCAGTGCACAAGAACCATAACTCCATCTTGACTAATTACAGAGTTATTTCCCTTTGTTACTTTTCTTTGTCCGGAGCATAACTTGTAAACCACTGGTTGGAATTCCAACCAAATTCATACAATGGTCAAGCACAATAAGGGCAAGTGCAGTGCACAAGAACCATAACGCCATCTTGACTAATTACAGAGTTATTTCCCTTTGTTACTTTTCTTTGTAAACATAACTTGTAAACTACTGGTTGGAATTCCAAACAAATTCATACAATGGTCAAGCACAATAAGGGAAAGTGCAGAGTACAAGAACCATAACTCTTTTTAAAGTAATTACAGAGGTACCTCTCTGTTAATTTCCATTGCTTTTTTTGTCCGGAGCATAAATTGAAGACTAATGGGTGGAATTCAATACAACTTCATACCTTTGTCAAGGACATTACGGGGAAGTACAGTGCACAAGAACCATAACTCAATTTGGAAAAATTACAGAGTTATTGCCCTTTGATACTTTTCCTTTTCGGGGCATAACTTAATACGTACTGGTTGGAATTCAAAACAACTTCATACAATGGTCAAGCACAATAAGAGAAAGTGCAGTGCACAAACACTACAACTCTGTCCAGAGAAGTATAGAGCTATTGCTCTTAGTTACTTTTCCATTGCCTTTTCCTGTCCAGAGCATATCTTGAAAACTAATAGTTGGAATTCAAAACTTTTTCATACAATGGTCAAGCATATTGAGAGAAAGAGCAGTGCACAAAACAATAACTCTTTCTTGACACAATTCAAAGCTTTTGCCCTTTGTTACTGTTTATTGTCCAGTGCTTAACTTGAAGACTAATGGTTGGAATTCAAAGAAACTTATACAATGGTCAATTTGTTTGTTTGTTTGGATTTTCACGCCACGTCAACACATAACTGGCCATATCGTGCCGAATGCTATAATAGGCTTAAAACATTATGTAAATCATTGTAAATGACAATAGAAATGAGCCAATTAGATCCTCGAATACAAGATTATCTCTTTTAAATAATCAATTATGTTTTTTGATGGAATTGTATTAAAAAGTTCTTTGAGTGAATTTACACAATAAAATCTATTACGGGCCTGTGTAAAATCATGACATTCAAGAAGAAAATGCTTGACAGTAAAATTTTCATTACAACCTACACAGAAAGGGGCATTGTCATTTGTGACGAGATAAGAGTGGGTAATTTTAGTGTGTCCAATTGGGCATCGAAGAAGAACTGTTTGAACACGGCGGTTTGACAGAGATAGAGATGGTGACATATCAAGAGATGGGTTTATATCGTGAAGTTTATTAAAAACGGCATTGTCCCAATTTGCTTTCCATTCAGATGATACGAGTTTATTTATAGCCGGTCTAAAATCACAAGCAGGTAACAATAAATCAGTTTTTTGAAAATTTAATGATTGTTTAGCTAAAGCATCTACTTTTTCATTTCCTCGTATTCCGACATGGCTTGGAATCCAATATAATTTAACATATTTTGTTTTTAGTATAATTTTTATCATGAAATCGTAAAAGAAGTTTCTTTACCATGATATTGTCAGAATTTTTATTCTTAATGGATATTAAAACAGAAAGCGAGTCAGAAACTATCACACATTTATCGTGGGTATGCTGTGCTATGTATGACAATACTAAATCGATAGCTTTTGCTTCAGCAGTAAAAATTGATGCATTATCTGGTAACCTCATACTAGATGTAAAATTATTTTCAAACACAGCCGCACCTACTTTGCAACCTTCTTTTGAACCGTCCGTATAAATATGTATAAAATCTTCATGTTCTTCCTTAATTGCTAGAAACTTCTCTTTGAAATATTCAGGTGAATTTGATGCTTTTTTATATTTGAAAGGTTAATATTTATTTCCGGGGAATTATAAGTCCAAGGTGGAACATCCTCATCGTCATTTTGAAGGATACTGTCTGGATTAATTTTAAGTTTATCTAAATCATCTTTTAAACGGAGGCCTAATGGTTTAATTTCCTTTGGTTTGTTTACAAATTTTTCAATATAATTTGGTTTGAAAATAATATTTTTGGCTGGATTTTTGCTATTTGATGAAATTCTAGTTGCATATTGAAGTGATAGCTTTTTTCGACGAAGTTGAAGCGATGGTTCCCCAGCTTCCGCATATAGACTTTCTACAGGTGAGGTGCGAAATGCACCTAAAGCTAAGCGTAAACTCTGGTGGTGTATGGTATCTAGCATTTGAAGATATGATTTTCTTGCAGACCCATAGACAACAGAACCATAATCTAATTTTGATCGGATAAGACTTCTGTATAATTTCAGTTATGTGGAAGAATTTGATCCCCAATTTGTATTTGATAAAACCTTTAGTAAATTTAAAGCTTTAAGGCATTTAGTTTTCAAATGTTTAATATGTGGTATAAAAGAAAGTTTTTTGTCAAATATAATTCCTAAAAACTTAGCTTCATCAACTACTGGAATTTTAGAACCAGATATGTAAAGTTCAGGGTCATTATGGTGTTTCCACAATCCACAAAAATGAAAACATTGAGTTTTTGACTTTGAAAATTTAAAACCATTTTCTATTGCCCACTTTTGGATTTTATCTAAATTTTGTTGAAGTTGCCTTTCAATTGTTCTCATACTTTTCGATCGATAGCAGATAAGAAAATCATCTACATATAGAGAACAATCTATGCCTGGTGTAAGAGCGCTAGCAATATTGTTTATTTTAAGGCCAAAACGTGTAACAGAAAGTATGCTTCCTTGAGGAACACCTTGTTCTTGTTGGTGATCCTCAGAAAAAGTTGAACCAAATCTTACTTTAAAGTGCCTATCGTTTAAAAATCCAGAAATGAAAAGAGGAAGTGTGCCTTAAAGTCCAGCATCCTTTAGATCTTTTAAGATACCATATTTCCATGTAGTATCGTAAGCCTTCTCAAGATCAAAGAAAATTGATACCAGGTGTTGTTTATTTACAAAGGCTTCTCTAAAAAAAAGTTTTAAGTCGTACAATGGTCAAGGGCAACGAGATGAAGTGTAGTGTACAAGAACTATAACTCTATTTTAACTAATTACAGTTATTGCCCTTTGTTACTTTTTTGTCCAGTGCATAACTTAAATACTAGTGGTTGGAATTCAATACAACTTCATCAATTGTCATGGGCAATGAGAGGAAGTGAAGTGTACAATAACCATAATTCAATCTTCAGTATTTATAAAGTTATTGCCCTCTGTTCCTTTTCCTTGTCTTTCTGGACTTATTACAGAGTAATTCTATAAAATTTCATGAATGGTCAACCACATTGAAAGGAAATGCAACATACAAGAACCACAGTATCTTGAATTGCCCACAACCATAACTATTTCAATTATTTTACAGGGTATTGTGTTACTAGTAGCATCCTTATTTCCGAAGCAGTCTTGCGGGGGTATAAAGCGCATTTAGTGATAGTTCTAGTTAAAGGTTGGGTATTCTGAAAGGCCGGTAGACTACCAACTTACCATTTTATATCGCTTAGATTCTTAATTGGGACATAATACTTTATTAAGTGGACAAGCAGCTCATAGTGTATATAAGTGGTTTTACTGTGGCTTCCAATCGACCAACAAATGATTGATAGCGTCAATGTTTCACTTATATATTGATACTGATACTATTAAAATTTCCTTTTATTTAACCACCTCGTAATGTCACAAGTGTCAACAATCAAAACACAACAAATAAACGTGTGAAAAACTCTATTTCCCAAACCGCTTAAGCGTATGCAAATGAAGTTAAGTATATGCGTGACGTGTATTATCCAATACTATCGGATAAACAATGCAACGCTCCGCCCCTACTGAGATGGTGTATACGCTTCGCTTGTTGACATTTAGACTGCATTGAATTGACCTTGAACTTGGTCAACAATTAAATTAATCGTAACAATTAGATGTAGTTTGTTTATTTCAAATAAAAAATGCACAACAGAAAACATCTTCACTAATATGTTTATCGTGTTGGAGACAAGGAAAAACAACGGAGAAGTTAAAAACTTCTTGAAAAAATGTCAAACATGTACGTTATGGATCAAAGCTTGTAAATAAATATCAGAAAGTTATTTTTTACAATTGCATCCATTTAGATTATCGGAGCGTACTAATTATTCATAATTTATATAAAAATGAAGTTGAAAAACATTCCCATCGCATAAGAAAGATGTCATTTATAAATTTTGACTTTTATATCATGCTGTCTTAAGAGACCGTTTCATTCAGCGACCGTTTTGGGTGTTTCCCTTGCGCGGTCGCTTAATACACGTTTGAATGTAATTTATTATATTATTATAATTGTAAATAAAGAAACATATAATTAGAAATTTACGTCATCACATCATGTTTTC